GTGATCCATTCTGATGTTGTTTGAGAGATTTCAATAGGAAGTAAAACTGTCATATTTGGCACCAACTGAAAAGTCAAATAGGATCCATCCTCTGGGGACCATGAATGCCTTCAGTCTGATGTTTGTCACTGGTTGTAAAAGTCCGGATGATTGTTTGCGACAGGTGAGCACGTGAACCCGCAGCACATTTTCTTTTATTGCCTTTTTGTTGTTGTTCACAATAGTTTGACCTACATCCGCTGTTTGCTCTCATCAATCATTTACAGCCTCCTTCCACTCAGCAGCTACAACTTCCTGCTGATTGCCCGTCGGCAAAAGAAACAACCTCCGCGGCACATTTACAAAGCGTTTAATCAGCTGAGGTCGACTGAAGGTATGTGAGGTGGGATTGCCTGTCTGAGGTGCCACAAAAACACAAACTGAGCTGAAGTGTGAAAAACGACGTTTGAACGAAGACAGTTTGTTAGCAGTAGTAAATAAAATCTGCACAAATATGGATGGGTTGCCATTGAATTTAGTTTTAGACATTTACAGCGATCAGTGAATGATTCCGTACCGTCTTTAAGATCTCACCACTTTATCTCTTGGAACAATATAAGATTTTTTATTTTTTTTTTACTGTTTTGTGGCCTTTTGAGGAGGCAGTGCAACAACCTAAAATCAAACCACTGTCATATATTTATCACATCAAAACTTAGTTACAGCAAACTTGTCATGTTTCCAATCCAGGTCATTAGTAACTAGTATCCGCAGATACCGTTTTCCTCAGGTATACAAACTTTAAGTGTTGTTGTACCTGGTACCTCTTATGTTTAATGCTGTAGTGACCAGAGAAGGTGGGCAGTTCAGTGTTAGCAAAGAGACGCCATGACAAAGACTTCTTTAATGTTTAATGACCTCTGACCAGGACGGTGATGTTGTATTCCACTGACATACACAATACGCTCAGTTTATGCTACAAGTTGATCAATCCTAAATCGATCATGCTGCATTTATCAAGAAAATCATTCAAATTTATAACACTTGTAAAACAGCGGAAGTAAACAACGGGTCGTGCTACGGTTTGTGCTGATACTGATCAGGTTAAAATTGTCTTGGTCGTCCCCACCATCCTTAGCAATCATTCATCTGGAGTCGCTCCTTTTAGCTCGGCTTTGTTCTCCACCGCCTCGTGAGGGAAAAATCTCGGCTTTAAACTTGTCAATGCTCGACTGTATTTGCATGCTAGGTTCTAACTGTGTCCATCAGACGTTTGGTCCTGGACAGGTTGTTTATTGGAGATTTTTTATGGAAATAAAAGGCCCCCTGCAGCCTGAAATGACACGATGACTGATTCCAACTGTGATAATTCGGCACTGCTCATCAAAACTTTAACATTTGGTCATAAAAGATGTATTTGTGCAGATGTAATGCTAACACGCTAAATGTTAGCTCAGTAGCAGCACTGACATCCTAAATGTTAACGTGTGCTACACATCATGCTGTCTTTGTTATCTTCTGTCATTTTTTATTTTTTTGTATAGTGAAAATCCCTCAGTGTGCTTTGGTTTTACTCACATTCAGAGGTTCTTCTTTCCATAAAAGTGAAATGCAGTAGAGCTGATGTGGAACCAGTCCGAGTATTTATCGTACACAAACTTTGCCAACATTGTTTTATGGAAACCCGACCTTGGATCAACATCAGGTGAGGAGTCCATTGCAGTCGACTTGTTAACTTGTGCACATGTTGTACGTTAAAACACAGGTTTGGAGTTTCTGTGTGATGATTTGCTTCCAGGTCTCCAGTCTGAGCTCATCCAGGCTGCAGGGAGTGTTTGACTCAAAGCCGCTCACTGTTATTAAAGCTGTTATTGAGGCTCAAATGTCTCGTATTTCCAAAATATTAACCTGAAGTCAGACCCCTTTAAATGCCACCTGCTACAGCGCTGCCGTCGCCAGAACCAGGTTTAACAGGTTCCATTCACGACACGATGAATCATTCATTTCGCCGGTCTGTTTTGATATCGACTCTCCGAGCAGATGAGTTTCGTTTTGTGATTCAGAGCTGCCTGCTGACTGAGTCATGTTGTGAAAACACTGAGCCACAGTGACGCCTCGGCTAAATGAAAAACTTCCTGTTCTGCCAGTTGGAGAACTTTGGCCGACAAAATCGAGGCGAGGCAGCTCCAGAGTTTATCTGTCAGTGTTTGCATTCTCAGTCAGCAGATATGGGAGGAACGAAAAGTTTTCCTCTGCTGAGCAGGATGAAACTGTTTTTTATAGATCCGTCCGTCCCAACAGATAACCTGAGTAGCTGTGGTGCACATGTCTGTATTTATTACCAGTAGGATTTGGTTAGACTGCATTTTATTTGAATCCTTTCTTTTTGTTTGTTTTGCAGGGAGTGAAAACAGCTTAATTAAAAAGCATACGTCTTTATTTTATTGCTGTGCTGTAGCTGAAAGTGGCTCCTTGATGAGGAGGTTGTGCTGAATTGTGCCAAAAATAGGACTAATGAGGGTCTGGAGGAGCTGTTGTCTGTGTATAAATCACTGTGATCATGTTGGTCCATTAATTTAATGGCTTCAAAAGCAGAATGCGGCTTCCAACGTTTCTGAGCATGTCGTGTTTTACACATTTAATTAAGACTGTGTGGACACAGATGGATCAGTCTTTAATTCAATCAGTCAAGCAGAACATTTCAGATATCCAAACCATCACTTATCAAGGACAGTTTATGTCACTTCTACCATTTATGTGTTTCCCATCACAGAATGTCTGCGGCTGAATTCTGACTAGTTGGGATTCAGATATTTACAGTTAAATTATGACACGATATCTTTATTTCCCACAATTTCAACAAATCTACATCGTCTTTTTTAAATTCTAGAATTAAGTTTGTACTGACCAAAATGATGAAGTAGTGATGTTGTAGACAAGGCCAACTGCAACTAATACTCGTAGAGATGTATTTACAGATATCTTGAATTGGATTTTTGACAAAGCAAAAAGACGTTGCCGATATGTTATGTCGTAGTTTGCAGTGAGATGGAGGCAGCTTGCAGTCGATATCGGCAAACACCTACGTTTGCTTTTGTTGTTTCACAGAGTCGTGGAAAAAAGCCAAAAAAAACATCCATCAGATGTCCTGCTGATATGTAGGATGAGTTTTGTACATTATTCCTGCTAAATTTAAAGCTTTTCTGCTGGCCTGAGGTCAGTAAACGCTCCTCTACTGTCCTGACTGATCCCAATCTGATGTAACATGTACGCTGGCTGGAGGTCTTCAGTGTCACAGAAGACTTTGTCATGGTGCCTCTTTAATAGCTAGACCCCTGAAAACTGGACATCCCTTTTTGCAAACGTATTATTTCACTGCATTTGCATTCGACAAGTCATGTGACCACCATGGTGGAGCTGCCCAACGCCAAACTTCTGGTACATTTCCTCCACAAGCCTCTAATGAACAAAGCAAAGTCCTTGCTGACGAACTTTTTCTATTTCACGGTACTTTCTAACGATTTTATCTGCCATCATGTCTCTTAACGCCGTTGAACATAGTCTGCTGTGCTTCCTGTGGTTTTGACTGCTCAGAATGACGTTGCTGATGTCTGTATTTTTAATCCCGGTAAAGCGACTTGCCGTACCTCAGCTGCATGTCACATGTATTCACAGTATATGTTTCAACCTTCTACTGAAATAGAGATACTGGTGTCAGTTCAAGAGCCAAACTGGTTTGTCGAGGTCAATCAAGGAGCTTGGTGAGTGGATGGCACCTCGCAGAGCGACGTCTTGTCCGTCACGTATTTATCAACATCACTTCAGCAGCTAAGCCAGTCTCAGGCTTTGACCTGAACTTTCTGCAGGATCCTGAAGCCTTTCAGTTCTCATTTTGGTTCAGCTCCTGCACTGTAAAAGAAAAAAGAAAGTGAAAGCAACACAGTGCACGGAATATAAGTTCCAGTTTATCTCTCAGCAAATATCAAACTGCAGGTTCTCTGCACACACGGTGGACTTTCTGTTAACTGAAACAGATGACTTGTCGGTTCACAGAATCTGTCGGCTGAACACGAGTCCTGACTTGAACGTGACGGACGGCGGACCAACGCTGAAGACTTCTCCGCTTTGTCCTCCTGCAGATTCTGCATTTGGCAGTCGTTCCGCTGACTCCAGTGAATTCTATCCACACTGTGAACGGTGTCAGCCGCGAGTCTGAGTTCGCATTAATCTTTATACGTCAACATTTTTCATTTACAGAAGTTTATGGTGTCGGACAGAGACAGACTGCGAATGAAACGCTCCGTGATGGATTTGCCGGCTGTGGAACTTCTGTGTATTTCACCAACTTGGATCCAAAGAGGAACCAGCTGAAACCATCCCTATGTGAAATGCAGACAACAAAACAGGACGACCGTGAAACTGAAAGAGGCTTTATCTCACTTTGGTTACAGATTTCCTTCTATCGTTTTTAAGAAAAACACGTACAGACATAACAATCCAATTTTCCCATTTATGAAACTGCAGCTTAAGTTTTTAAAAGAGAGCTACAAAAACATGAAGACATGCATGAGTTCATATCCAACAGTACACATGAACACAAGCATCACTGGTTATCAAAACAGCCAACAAACAACAACCCACTGGACGCTTGTCTACAGTGAAAAAAAAAACATTTCTGTAGAACATCCAAAAGAATATAACTTCACATTCATCAAAGAAATTGTGCGTCAAGAGCAAACTGTGCTGCACATAATAATAATAGTAATAATCATAATAATAACAACAATAATAATAATAATAATTACAGTTAACACGTAGCTTTAAAGTCAATTCACAACTGCATTTCTACATTCAAGGATGTGTTTTACTGGTTTCTACACAGTGATGCAGCTGCACAGCAAACAGGACTGGGAGTGTCTGGGCTCCAAAGACGGTTCGTTTTGGTGGTAAAAAAAAAACATGTTTACAGTAAAATGCTGAAAAATCAAATACAAGCGTAAAAAAAACAAAAAACTTTTAATAAAATATGACTTTAAAATGATCTCATTACATATTTTTTTAAAAAACAACAACAAAAAAACAACAACTCTGGTATGTGTTAGAATCACAATCTTCACATTTTTTAAAAAATAACTTAAGTCTTTTTATGCTGACAGTGATTTTCTACGCCGATGATGGTTGTATTTTCATTTTGCAGAGAGAACGTCACACTTCCTAACCTCTACAACTCCACAACTTTGGAGTAGCGGCCTTGAGTTCAGGTGAAACTCCCAAAATGCAAGTTGACTTTTAAACTAGTTTCATCAAAGTACTAGGTGGTGGAAAAAGTACTTAGATATAGTAAGTAAAAGTACCAATACCCCACCGTAGAAATACTCTGTTCCGGGTAAAAGTCATGCAGTGAAATTTGCACAGCAAAAGTACTTTTAGCAGCTAAAAGACACTGAAAGTACCAAGAGTAAATGTATGTAATATGTAGAATACTTTTTATTGTTGGATTACTGTCATTCAAGCATGACTGTGTTGAGTTACTGTTAAAGCTGCTAAATATGATTTAATCACTTTATGTTGTTAATCTGCTGAGTAGATTGTCACAGTAAAGCTTTGATTTATATTATTACATCTTAATTTATCTGTTCATTATATGCTTTAAACTAAATCCTTGGAGTGTTGTAGGAGCACAGGAAGCAGAGAATCGCTGCACGAGGACACGACTTCAACAGGGACGGAGGTCAAATTTAAATCAGGTACAGTTTCAAAAAAGGTTTTCTCTGAAATGTATGATCACTCCTCTTTAATAGTCGGCAGAACTAAAGAGTTTAGTGCAGTTACATGAACTGACACATCACCCGACTAGTATCCAGTTATTAAGCTGAAGGAAACTGCATTCCAGCAAAGCAAAACAGACATATTTCTTGTGTTGGCTACTTCCACCTGAACTCATGGCAGCCATCAGGGAGCAGCAACAGTGACCAGAGATGGAAAGCTGAAGTCTGGTCGGACGGTTTCCAACAGAAACACTCCTGTTAGATCTGATTCTGATTCAGTGAAATGTTATCAGACCCGTCTACGTCTTGGTATGTAGTAATACTTCCATGCTTCGGACGGGCGTCGCATTCTCCATGCAGCAAATTACATTTCCTGCTTTCGAGCAAATAAACGGCGTAGCGTCAACAGAAGGCGGTAATTGAGGCCACAAGACAAGGAAGAAAACAAAAAACTTGGACCGTCGACGAGAGAAAAATCAAGGGACTTGCCTTCAATCGGGAAAGTTTAATTATACTTTCATGTCAGACGGTGTCTGCGGAGACGAAGACAACGAAAGAACAGACGATGTTTACGTCGTCCGAGCTTGTTAGGAAAGTTGCTTCCGTCTCAATAAAGTCAGACACCACCTCAACCGTGAATTTATTTTCTTTTGCTTTTTGCCACTTAATTTTTTTCCGATGGGACACTTCAAACTACGTTATGGAAACACGGCCGGTGAAACAGTCAGCGAGTTTCCTCCTAAAGCCCAGAATTTGATTATCTCCTGAAACCCTGAACGCCGCCGTCGATCTACTCTGCCGACTCCTCTGATTTGATCGTACACGGAAAAACAGACAGAACTCTGTGTATCTGCATCTACAGACCTGACGTAGCACACTTTATATCTACAGTACAAACTACATGCTCACACCTGCGGACATTAACACACATTGAGTCCGAGTCGCTGGCAGCAGTTGAGCTCTGGAGCTTTGAGTCATGAACTAACTTTAGTCCTTGTGTCCTCCTCTTCTCCGGTGAGTAAGACGAGTCGTGTACAAAGGTGTTGTCACGAGTTGCTATTTTCTAAAACAAACCGTCTGAAAAGGAGAAACTGGAAAACCTCTATTTTGGCGTCTTCTCTGCCTCAGTTGCTTCAGTCTCCATCACCTCCTCATCCTCCTCCACCTCACATGAGATTCGACGAGCAGAAGAACGAGGAAGAAGAGGACGTCCTGAAGCCTTCATCTCATTGCCTCCGTCCTCCTCCTCCTCCTCAGCTCTGAGGGATCAGACCAGCTGGAGGAGGAGCTCCTGGACGGTTTCCAGGCCATGGCAGGACCTCCTCAAGGCTCCGTCGGAGTCCAGCTGGGCGGCCAGGAGGAACACCTTCCTGTCCACGGTCACGGAGCCCAGAGACAAGGCCTCGTGGAGCTCCGACACACTGACGGCGTTGGGTTTATCCTGCCAAGAGCAACAAACGGGTCAAACCGACAGAAAAGACAAAGCAGGATACTTCAAGGTCGGCTTAAGTCTGACGTCTGCACTGTGGAGTGGATTTGGTTACTGATGCGTTATTAATTCAGTTACATGCATGACAGACTTTTAGGTTATTTATTGATATTAATATTTATATTCATCATGGGTTTTCTTTAGCTAAAATACTGCAAAACGTTTTTTACTCTGTACGCAGCTAAACCTGAAAAACTAATCTTGAATCTCTCCACATTCCCTCACTTTGCAAAACACCTTATGTTGTGAATTGGAACTACTTAAATGTTTATCAGATATACACTGAATATTTTTTGGATATTACGGCTTTATTTATATCCTACTGCGATCGATATCTGCCAATTTCAAAACATTTAGATGGAATATTAAGTGTAGTGTGCGACAGTCAATAAGCTAACTAAGCTAACAACAAACAGAAGGTGTATGTTGCCATGTTTTGGCAAATATTGTGAACATTTTTATTAATAATAATAAATGAAATATGTACACGTCATTGTCATTGCAATTAGCATAGTTAGCTTGTATCAGCCAAGCAAGAAAAACACAAGTAAACTTAGTGGGAGTGACATGCTAGCAGTGAACAACAGCTGTGCTTATGCGCTATCAAGTATGAGAATATTTTTAATTTCAACAGTAAAATCTGGATATTAGCATAGCGAGCTTGTGTTTGCCATTTAAGAATAACTTCAATTAAACTGTGTGCAACAAACTCAAAATGCTAACTAGACTAGCAACAAAGCAAAGATGTGCAAGTATTTTTTTTTTACACAAACAAGCAAAAGAATATGAATACAGCATGTTTTTGGCAGTAGCATTAGCATAGTTAGCTTTTGTTCTTCATTCAAAAATAACGTTAAGGAAACATAATGTGCGACATACTTAAAAAGCTAACAGTGTTAGCAACAAATAGGCTGTGCTTAGCCGTGTTTTGGTAAATAATGGGACATGCGTGTACCATTAGCATTAGCATAGTTAGCTCAGGTTTGCCATTCTCTACTAACTTTACACTTGAAAAGCTAAAAACAGACACAGCATCGTTTTGGTAAATACAGCAACAACATTGTTTATCCAAAGTAATTATGTATTCACTGTTGATTTGTCATTAGCACAGCTTGTGTTCGTCATTAAAGATTAATTAATGTGTCTGCAAAAAACAGACGCTTCACTTTGGACCAAAACATGGAAAAATACAGTTTTCATCTGATCTGTAGCTTGCATTATTGATTATGTATTTTTAGTGTGACAAATGGAGCAAAATGAAGTAGAAAGAAACGGGAAAAAAACACGTTTTTGTCATAAATATAGTTGTTAAGAACACAGAACCTGCATCAGGTTGATCTGATACTAGTTCATGCTGTCTTGACCAGAATACGCTTGTTAAGGATATTTTTATATCTTAATGAGACTTTTCCAGTTTAAATACATATTTTAAAAATGAACCACACACATACATGTAATTACAGTACAGGCTTGTTTTGGTGCTTCTCTTGACAACACTGTGACCAAAACATAAATGTTGTGACTTTAACCAACTCATGTGTTCCACTTCAAAAGGCTTAGCGAGAACAAAATTACCATGAACTTACATAATAGTTAACGATGTGTCATTACAAATGACTACGTGTCATTTATGATCAGAACTCATGTATGCGAAGCCGCCCTCCTACACCAACCGCTCGGCCGGCCTGCAGTCTACAGACGTCCGCCTCGCTTCTCTGCAGGTTCTGTTGGGAACATCCTTTGTAGTGTTTAAACGGAACGAGCGCCGAGGCTGAGAAGAATTAAGTGTTGGTGGGCGAACGCCGGTATCACTGTCAGAAAGAGCTCCTACTCCTGAAGACAATAGTTCTTTTCTTTAACCTGGGCTCACAGAGGTTGAGTCTCTTTCATGTTTAGGGTTTAATCTCTCAAAAACAAGCCGACAAAAAAATGTCAAGCTGTTTTCTGAAGCAAACAATGGTTGTTTTTAGCTCAGTTAATGTGTTTTTCTACCCTTCAGACACCCATTGACTTCCACTATTTGACTTTTTAAAATACAAACAACAACTAAATAACAGCAGTGATGGATTACACAACCGAACTCAGTTTTGTAATTGATTTATGGATCATTCCTGTTCAAAATGCTAACACGTTGAGAGCTGAGTGTGAATTAAACTTCATATACAGTCTTAACATATTAGACAGCCGCTGTAACACATTTCTTAAGCACTGCATATACACTAATAATTTAAACTGCAGTTCCGTGGTTACGTTCGTTACACATCTTGATGTATAACTTGAAAGCAACCCGACAGAAAATCCATATTTCCGGCAGCTTTCACATTGACAGGCAACAGGTTTGCGAAGCCTCCAGCAGATATTCTGTTTGATGATCCTTATTAATTTTGCAGATGAACGTAGAGAAGGCGTAGCGCGATAACTTCGATCCTATGGAGCCTCCTGATGTTTAAAACATGGCGTTCTGCATGAAGCCGCACCTGCTCATCCGCACTGTGTTGACTGAAACCGAAACGACGACTTTCCCTCTAATGTCACGAGTAACCAACAGCAGCGGGACAACAGAAGCGCCGACATTAGACGTGACAAATATTCCCTCTTGCCCGGGAGGGTCATGCATAATTCCACAAGTGCCGCGCCGTGTGAAGAAATATGAGGCGAGGAGGAAATGTAGAAATGTTTATTTCAGGAGTCTGACGGATCGCCTCCGCCGCATAAATGAAGAAGGAAAGACTCGGCTGGCTCCAACATTTCCACCTCAGCGGTCGCTTCATTCATTAAGTCGACTCCTGTCACTCATTTTATTTTACCAATATTGTGCTTTGACACGTTCACAGGAAATTATTCAGAGGACGAGTATTTTTCTGGCCTTAACTACATCAGCGTACCTGTTTCCTGCTGTGTAGGGCAGCCATTGACTTCCATATGAAATAATTCTTTGAATATGTCAAGCTGAAATTCGACGTGTTTATTCCATCATGGCAAGTAATTGTGGATATTTATACAGTATGAAAATGAATGGCAATCAATGGTTGACTAGAATAGTAACATATTCATTAAAAAACATTAAGTTGTGACTTAAAATATATATGTTTTTGGCTTTTTTAGTATTAAATATTACATATTAAAATGCTTGTTACACAGTTTTAGACTATTCAGGGCAGCCATTGGTTTCCATTGTTTTCACATGAAATCACTAAAAAATACATGTGAAATTCAGCTAATATCAATTCTTATGGGCTAAGTGATGGTGGATTTTTATACAGTATAGAAATAAATGGAAATCAATGGCAGAAAAAAAAAAAATCTTTTAAAAAATCCACAACACAAACGTTAAGCTGTGCCGTAAAATATATATATTTTTGGGCTTTATTTTTTATTTTTTAAACGCTGCTATATTAACGTGTCTCACATTTTTAAAGGCCACTGGTGTCCATTTATTTCTGTATGAACTCTAAACCAAACTTGATTAATTACTGTGTAAGCCATCAATATTAAGACAAAGTCTTCTTTTTATGCAACGAGGAAATGAGTGGGAATCAACGGTCGACCAAAATGATCCGAAATGTTTCTCGGGAAGATTGAGAACAACAAAAACAACCTGCTTAGTTTTAGCTTTTTAATATATTTTTCTACTATTCTTGGTAGCTATTGGGTTCCATGAATTTCCATGTGAACTATAAATCCGTGAAAAAAACTAGACTAAGTTGTAAAACCCGTTAATGTGAACACGAACGTGAGAACATTTCTAAAATACAGACATTCATAGAAATCAGTGGTTGGCTATAATGGAAGGAGACACTCAACCTAACATCTAAAATGACTCGCTGTAATGTAAAATACTTATTAGTTTTTCAAAATAAAGCTACATTAGTGTACTTTATTTGTTTGCTGTACATTTTTAAATACATCCTGCACATTTTTAGATTCTTTTGAACAACATTTTTTAGACTATTTTTCTGCTGTTCTCGTCAGCCATTGATTTCCATCAATTCCCATACTTAAAACTAGTATATCGAAGAGATCTAAAAATATATTAGAAAGCTTTATTAGATTGTGTTACTCATCAACACTAACGCTGTACTCTTTTAATACAGACTGGATATTAATGGAAATCAATGGTTGGCCAACAAATGTTGAGCTGTAGAATACATTTGAAACTGATGCCGGATCTTTGGGTTTATTTGTATTATTTGGATAAAAAAAACAACAATTAAATGTCGTTTCAGCAGAAATATCCTGTTGTTTACCTGCTTGTTTCCCAGGACGACCACAGGCAGCTGAGGCTCCACCCCCAGGAGGCGGTGCAGCTCCGACTTAGCCAATGGGAGGCGGCTTCTGTCGGACGAATCCACCACGTAAACCAGAACGTGAGTCCTGCTCAGGTAGTCGGACCAGTAGCGCCGCAGATCCTCACCACCGCCGACTGCAGCAAAGAAAACACGTCACAATTAACATCCTCAGGTTTGTTTGCTTTGCCAGAAGTCACCTGAAGACTCGATCCTGTTTTTCACACAAATGAAACACGAGATCTAGTGGAGAGACCTTAGGAAGATCTGCCTGATTGTTCCCAACCTGGGGATAATGTCTCGTTTATTGGCTGTATTTAAAGATGGACGAACTCTTAGGTTTTGTCTGAAACCCCTGAAAATCAACAAGCAGAAGTGTGTTGCCCAGTCGTCCGAAGAAACTCAACTTTTAGTATCAGTATGACTTTCAGCAGAAACTCGAAGGCTGCAATCGGAAAAGAAAATTGTTCACAGAACTTTCTGAAGAGTTAGAACTTGAGCATACAACTCATCCTGCGATGGAAATGTATTCGCTACAGGGTGTTTGGTTCTGTGGATCCTGAATGGACCAGTATCCAAACTGGTTCCCTGTTGGTCAAAGGCCCTAGCGTCGTCTGGGACCAAGTCTCAAGGAATCCGTCAAGTTCACGTACTAATACTTCTTTAAATAATGGAAAACTTTGTATGTTTTGACTGGATTCCCGACCTGATGTGATCGAAGTCAGGGCAAAGCAAGGCATTTTTTAACTGATATGTTAAAGTACAAACCTTAGCTTGAGCCTTTGTTTATATGCGTTTTCACAGGTGTGAAGAGAGAGCACAATTTGTAGCAGGAAGCGACGGATGCAAACTAGTCGGAGGTCCTTAAGCGTCACAGAAGTCTTTGTCATGGTGTCCGTTGCTAGCTAAACCTCCAACATAAATTGCTCTAAACGGTATGAAACTTCCCCTGGTGGAACACCCAGGTACTACAGCTGATCAACAACACATTTTCTGATTTGCATGTAAAGAACACAAGTTCTCTTTGTCTTTTGGAGCTTTTGGAGACATCCTGTCTTCTCCACACTAGATTTCAGGCAGGAGCTTTACAACAAGGCTATGACCACCTACGTAATATTAATGAACAGCTTGGATGCAGAAATGCATTGTTTTTCTTGTCAAGCACACACACCGGATTGATTTTAATAACGTTATTGTATTCCTGGTGTGTATTATCTAAGAAAATGGTACTGGATTGGGACTGTGTCTGGGTATCAGGGTAAAGAAACACTTGATCGGGACCTCCTTTGTTTAAATGTTGGTTCAGACCCATTCCCATTGTCAGTTGACAGTTGTTTATCTTTAAAATGCCTGACAACGCAGCACGAGCGTGATGAGAAGCAAACTTTGACACGACGCTGGAATGCGTCAAAGTTCAACCTCGTTGGACTTTGGATGCAATACTTGGCATAAAATCAGACCAGCTGTTAGGCCACGAAAACACCTTCTAAGGAGGCAAAAACACCACCGAGTGAATATTAATACTCGCATTTCCCAAGCTGACAAGTCATGTGATCAGGCTGAGGCGTGATGTGTAGAGAACCAAGGTCACACGGCACAGAAATCAGACTGAACCTGGTGTAAATCAGCCCCTGTGTGCGTCGCGACGGATTGCTGCAAAAAGGGAGGCAGTTAGTTCAATGTATGCACTCGCCCACTCTGTTCACACCGTGTGAGTCAGCTGTGTGGGTCTAATAAGGCGGCCTGCAGAGCGGCAGCACGAGCGTCCCGCTGGGATCCGACTGTAAAACACGAGCCGCTCGGAAACAGGTATTTATTGTTGCCACATCACATCAGCTTAAGGTACATCTCTCCCCAGTTTCCTAGCAACATTCTCCATTAAGTCCGGCGCTAATGAATTCTTGCAGCTGAAATCAGAGGCGCTAAGTCAGAGCTGCCGCCGGTCGCAGCCGCCGCAGGTCAGCTCTTCTGCACAGCGGGATTGTGGGATGTTATCGCACATTCGGTCACTATGAAACTTTCCACCACAGTGAAGCTCCAACAAACGTGTCCGGTGTCAGCAGTGCAGCGCTGCAGGACGCTTCGAGAGGCTTTTGTTGTACCATTGGTCCTCCAGAACGTGACGGCTGCAGGCTTTTTTTATTTTTTTGAGATATGTCCTCATTTACACTCAGGGAGAAAAAACAAGAATAATGCCTGCGAGTGCAAAAGGAACTAAAATGCATAAAGAAAAGCTTTGAGGAGGGAAGAAAAACAGTCAAATTAAACCTTATTTTACGGCATAATCTGAACCTCTGAGCACCAAAAAGCAAATATAACAGAACAAAGTCATGGAGAAAAAAAGGAAAAAGAGCAGCTGCACGGTTATATTTCTTGCTGACATATCGTGTCTGGAGGCAACAAGACGGAAAAAAAATGAATCGGACCAATTTGCCCTGGAGGAGAATGTGGATATAAATAATGCCTAAGTGCCGTCTCGGCCTATTTCATCCCTCGGTGAGAAGCCAGATTCCATTCGGTCCGACGCCGACCCGAAATTAATCTGCGGCCAATTTATTTAAAGCAGGAGCAGCTTATCTAATTCTGCCCATCGATCTGTCGGTTCTTAACGGAGAGCTGCTGCCACGGCCAAACGCCCTTGAGCAAGGCGGCCAGTCAGAGTCGGGGATGTTTTTCTGAAGCCGACCTTGCAGCGACAGTTTCTTTGTGCGGATGAATAAAAGAACATCCTCGTCATCTGTGAATGCAGCGTCGCAAGAAAACCGGGCGAACTGAGCCCTGCTGGGGTGCTTTAGTTAAATTAAATGTCACTTCTTTGCTAATAAACCCTCATTTAATTATGAAATCTCCCGCTGAGGTCGACCGCTGCGCTGTGATTCAGATGCAGACGGAAAGCTGAGGACGAGATGTACTGAAAACCAAGCGAAGAGCCCAAAATGTGCCTTTTCTTTAATGTGGAGTTATTCTCAGACAGAAAACGTTGATCCGTCATCCCCCCAAACCCCTCGTTTGAACATTTCCATTGGAAGCCTGGTGGGTGTTTTTGCTTTATTCCAATTCATTATGAGAACTTCTTTAGCATCGTTTCCTGATTGTTTAGCAACTGCCGTCGCTTGTCTACAGTTTTAGAAAAGCAAAGTCCGACTTGGTATTTCAGATTGTCACACAACAAAAATGTGGTTTGTACAAAGAAACCACAGCCAGACGATGATGTATACGTATATCTACATGGTTTGCTTTATGAAATAACCAAACAAGGACTTTGTCGTGTTATTTATGGTTTAATTTCACCTCAAAAATGTACCTATCAGGGAATAAAACCAACAAAATGTGACTACGATTTATATTAAGGCTGAGATCCTACAATGTCAATGAATATGAAGAATAATCTAACTGATGTAATAATAAAGCTAAGACTATTTCATGTTGTTAATTACAGAGCTGAACCTACATAATTTAAACATTAAGGCAGCTTCTCTCCTGCTCCCTGTGCTCACATATTTTAATAATTCCCAATAAAGCCGTTCTCGTGCACATAGATTTCTGTCGTCAGATAACAGACTAATCCTGATTTTACAGTCGCCACGTCGTCCATGTTGCACTTTGTCAAACGTACAGATCAAAACTTTGAACCTTTTCGGGGTTTTGACAGAAACTTTCATTTCTTCTGCAGTTGCGCTGATGACTTAAGTAATGAGCGCTCGTTTTTAAAATTCATTTTTGTCATGTTTCCGGTTTAACGCAGTTTTGCGTTTTTATATGTATGTACACGCATTATACGATGACATAGAGGTTCTTAAAATGCTAAAAAAATCTAATGAAATAAGAATTTTAATCAATTAATTGATTAATCAACAAAATAAAAAACATTTTTCTACCACATTATTGTGTTTATATAGCGTATTTTACATTTTATTTCAGAAGACACATTTTCAACCTGCATTTTACCCCGATCACAACTGATTTTGTGTAACTGTTCTCGTGCGACTCCAATATCACAATCTGTCACTGTGTCTGGACTTAGCAAAGATGTTGAGTTACATTTAAGGAAAGGAAATATTTTCATGAAAAAAGTCTAAATATTCAACTTCTATGCAGAGCAGTGGTATTTTGGGGGTTTAAATCAGTGATGAGATGCAGACGGCGTTAAAAAAGAAGCATTTCAGACCCAGACTGAGAAACGGTGCTGCAGCAGATGAGAGGAAAGATGTGTTTTTGAACATAAAACACCTCCTAGTAGATCCTAAAAGTAAAATTATGAACCCGTAAACGTGCAGAATGAAGCCAGATTCACCGCAGAGCGAGCAGAAGCCCACGACCGAGCAGCTTATGTGCAGGATGTGGCTCATTTTACGGCCGATAAAGAGGAGAAATAACATATTGGAATGTTGTTTGAATGCAGAGCTGATGGTGCCGCGACAAACAAGCAATGAATCCTTTCAGTGAAGCTTTTTTTTGCACTCGCTGTGCTGCAAAGCTGCAGTTTGTTGAACGTGTGATTGTTTCACGTTGAATAATTCTATATCTGTGTCACTCTACACAGCAGACATTTCTGGGTTCTGCCTTCCTCTAGTCCAGGTGGTTCTGGTTCCGTTGAGGTGCAGGACTTCATGTTGCAGTGAGACATGACAAAGAAACTGCTCAGAGTTCAGGAGGGCTAACAATGCATTTTGGGATCTCCATTCCTACTAAATGTAACGGTAATCGGATTTCGCCATTTTTTTCTTTCTCCTGCAGCTGAAACAGCTTTTTGTACCCTGATGACACCGTTCTGTTCAGCTTTTAAATGAAAACCAATATCAATGAAGCCATGGGTGTGATAGAACAGGTCTGTTTCTTCAAATCAACCAAACCAGAACAAACTGTACCAACACTTGCGTAACTCCTAAAGAGGAAAAGCTCCGTTTCTCTTCCTCTGAGCGCAAAAAATCCCCCAAACTCATCAAACCGCCTCTCCGTCTGATCCCATCTGCATCCTTTCATTTGGAGTTTAAAGGCCTTTTAGCTGGATTCTCCTCTCGACGGACTTCATGCGAGGAACCGAACCTGTCGGCTCGACTCAGCGTCAGCGTCGCCGGCTCAAACGCTCTGACATTTTTACCGCGATCGAGTGGGTGGCGACGTTCGCTCTCAGAGATGAGGGAAGAGATTAGCGGTGCCCACCGCTCTCTGTGTTCAGATCATGAATAAATCAGCCGCCGAAGCTCGCGCCGTTTGAACGACGAGCGTTTATGCTATTTTTAGTGCAGTGGAAACTCATTTGCTGGATTTATGAGTCCGTCTCCTCCTTTACTTCTTCTTTTCTCTTTTTTAAAGCCGAGCTGTTTGATTCTCTCAGTGCTCATTTGTGTGGAATTAAACAGAAACTGAGCTTTTAAGGTGTTTTATTACGTTGATGGTGATTTCCTCCCTGTTTCATTAAATGGAGGCTTTCAGGGAAGAAAAAGGCAGAAAAACAGCTCGAACTGTGAATGAATCAGATCCTCCTGCACGTTCAAGCCGAAAGTCTCTTTTTGGGTTTTTCCATCTTAAACCCCCTGAGACTTTCTGCTGGACAATCTCTGATTCGCTTGAAACGTTTTTTGTTTTTGTTTTATCCCAACGGTATCTGGGGGAAATTCTACATGGATGCATCAGATAGCTTTCAAGATACGTATTTATTTAAATCACAACAGCAGGTTTATCCAAAAAATTTGCTGCAGGTGTTTAATGAACTCAGAGGAACGACTCCTACAAACAGCCGGAAGCAACCAATTAAAACGCAATCAGTTTGGATCAAACTGTCGTGTTGAAAGTGGGATTTTCACTGTTATTTCTCATCGTGATTTTGATTCAGGATCTGTTTTTCGAGAACAATTATGAAACTCCAGAACTCTGTCCTACGTGGATTATCAGTTTTGTGTTATTGTGACCTGAGGCTACTTGTGGTTTAGAAAATATCACTGGCTGACTTCTGCATTGTCAATTATTTTGTTAATGTGAGCTCAAAGGTGAGACTTTTCATGATGGCTTCAGAGATTCTTTGATCCACTTGTCCAGTATTACAGATTCTGAATCATGAGGCGTTTATCTTTAACAGTTCCTGAGATATTTTTGTTAAAAAAGCCTCAAATTTCGCCATTTTGAAAGCTGGTAAACAAATAATTTGCTAAACAATAAGAACTGTTTCTGCAGACGCCTACAAACAGCTAGGAGCAACCAATTAAAATGCAATTATTTTGGATCAAACTGTCGTGTTGATGGTGACACAACAACATCAATACGTCCAATCGGTGAGCTGGGTGCTTATCTAGACGGATACCTTTATAAAGCACCTGAATTAGCTTTTATTTATCATTACTCGTATTGATAAGAACATGGAGAATAAGCTCGAGAAAACTGATGAAAAGTAGCTGCTGTCGTCTTTCAGCACCACAAAGGATTCAGTTTGTTTAATGCAGAGTTGCAACTAACGACTAATTTCGCTGTCGATTAATCTGTGGATTATTGTTTTTGATTAACAGATGAATTGTTCGGTCTATAAAATGTAAGAAAACGGTAAAAATGTCAGTCACAGCTTCCTAAAGCCACAAAGAATTTCACGGTATTTCTTAACTCAAATCCATAAATCAATAATCAAAGTATTCGCCAATGACTTGAGCTCACAGTTGATTGCGGCTCTAGTTTTAAGGCGGTTTGCATCAACACCTTCTGATCTTTGGGTTAAAAGCGAGTGACGTCTGCGTTGCTGAACCGCCGCGTTTCAAGTCTGATGGCAGGAACAGCATGCGGCCGTTATCTGTATGAAAGTGAATCAGTGATGAATCACCCTCATGCATGAATCACACATCAGCCCCGGCCTAACGTCATGCATGATCCAAGAAGATGAAGATGAAAAAAAAATAGTGAAGCTTGAACACATTGTGGAGAATAGTCTGACTCAGCAAACATTGACTGAGGGTATAACCGTGACATTTCACGTGGCTTTTCCCTCTTTTCTCTAGCACTTTTAGAGCATAAAATATAAATATTAATGAAGATATCTGTCAATTTTTAGCTTCCTCCTTCCTCTTCTCGCCCTCCATTATCACGATAAGACCTCCAAGCAACAAACTACATGCTGAGAAGTGTTGTAGAGGATTTGTGTTGTGCAGTAAGACTCCTGTTTGTTTTTTGTTTTGTTTTTTTCCCAGTAAATTTTCAGGTTTAAAACTTTCCCTACAAATGTTCCACAAAAATCACCATTTCAAGGGGCACCATCGCTGCATCCTGGGCTCTGCACCACCGACGACGGCTGTGATTGGCTTAAACAAACACAATCAAGAGAGTTTCTACCTGCTTACAAGAGAAAGGTGATGAGGTGCAGTCAGGCCATTCGTCACAGCACTGTGGAGATATGAATCCACTGTTGGTCGGTCCAGTGTGTCAACATTTGAAGCTGTGCTGCAGCAAAATTCAAGTCAACTTAATGCCAACATGCTAAAGTCAGATGATAATCAGTGAACTATCCTAATGTTAGTGTTATGTTGACATGCTAACTGTACAAATGTAATCTGGTGTTGAGAGGCAGCGTCACTACACGTTCAGGTGTAACTAGTTTAACTGCAGCAGTTTAGCAGCGACGATACCGTTTTCCGAATCAAACAGCTTTTCAGCAGCGAATTGACAAAAAAGCTACACGCTACATTTTTACAAGCAGAGCTTTCAATGAACAAAACTACGGATCAATATGCGACACCGCTTCCATTCATTAATATAAATATCTATCAGACCTTGGTTCAGTCTGCAAACTCCAGCTCGCAGCTTGTAAAGCGTTAACTACCAGCTAGCTACATGTTTTTTACTGTCTGTAGGCTGCAAATGAGTTAATTAGCATAGAAAACAAAATTAATTCAATTAAAGTAGCTTCTGATGCAACTATATTGTTCATGCTGGTGCAGCTTCGCTTGCTATGTTTCTCTGTAATTATATTGAACGTGAAGCAGCTGCTAGCTTAGCTCGCTAAACTCTCCAAGTAGCTTGCCTAACACTAGATGAAAGCTAGCAAGTTAAAAAGCTAACATGCTAAATGCAATCAAATTTTAACTATCTCCCATGACAGCTGTAGTTGTACGACAATCAACCAATTAGTTGTCAACTGTTAAATTAATCTGAAGCTATTTTGAGAATCGATTAATTAGTTTGAGGGATTTTGTTCAAAAAGAAAAAAGTCTCCGATTGCAGCTTCTTAAATGTGAGGGTTTTTTTTTCTTTCTTTCTTCATGTAAGGATGTCATCTTGATCTTTTTTGACAGTTTTCACCATTTCTAACATTTTATAGTCCAAACAGCTAATTGATAAACACTCAACGGGTTAATTGTCAATGAAAACAATGGCTAGTTGCAGCCTTTAGACAGATGTGAGTAAGGTCATGCTAACGTAGCATGCTAACTATAATCAGCACTTTAACTAAGCGTCACCGCCAACATTCTGCATTTCAGTCTATCAGTAATATTTCACAAGTGAATCTCGTTTTCCAAAAATGACTCCAGGCATCTTTGTGGAGTTTTTTGGCAAGTTTCATGAAACAAATGGTTCTGAGCGGATTAAAAGCTCCTTCCCACTGTTTGATAAAACTTCAACGCCGACTCGACTCCATGCGGCGCCTGCAGAGTTTGATTACGAGGGATGAAAGGCGTCTTACTCTCCAGGAAGTCGAGCTGGCAGGCCGGGGCGTTCAGGCTCATGAAGTTGAAGCCGCGGGTGGGCCGACGCGGGCCTCTCTTGGGCTCTCCGGGGGTCAAACCCTGCAGCATGCTGCTCTTCCCGGCGCCGTCCAGACCCAGGACCAGGACCTGACGCTTCCCTCGCTCCTCCTCCTCCTGCAGACAGAGCACAGATCCACAAGTGTTCAGAAATGAAGACCGCAGGCAGAAATCAAACACATTAATTCAACGCAGACTGAGGGTATTTACTAAGTTTTAGCAGGAGTCGGGGTGTAGAAGAACGGCAGGTTTGCATTTGATTTGCAAATATTTAACAGAGTAAACGCTGTGCTTTAAGCTGATCCATCTAAGCTGTCTGTAGGTTCTCTAGCATCACTGAAATAACGTCCGAAACATGTTTTCAGGTCCACAAGTTGTATTTAATCTTCCCGTCACACAAACTGTTCACATAAAGCTGGAAGAACGTCACAGTAAAATATCACCATGTGCTTCAAAGTGGAACTAAGGAGCCCAAAGGGCGTCAATATTGACAATCTGGGATCTTTTTAAACCGTCTGAGTTGAGCATTGATTAACAGCAGCTTTACTCATGATGGAAGTCAAGAGTCCAAAGATAAGCCACAAAGGAAGCAGATAATATTAGAGTGGATTAAACTATCTTAACAGCTACTGGAGGGATTTCTATGATTTTTGGGTCGGACATTCGTGTTCTACTAAAAAAAAATCATTAAACAACCGTGGTTCGCCTTCGACGTTGTCATTTCACTTCGCTCGGGACTTTGGCTTGTGATCTTTAGTGCTGATTAGCGTGTTAGCATGCTAATGGGATGGCATCCGAATCGGCCCTCTCCATTTTCATTGTGGTGTGTCCAATAACGTTAACTCCGAGAGTGATACATGGACGACAAATAGTAGTTATGGGACGTATACAGTTTTAATGTCGGAAACACAACAACAGAGATTTGTAAGGGTTGCTCAGAGCTGAAGGTACTCAAAGAGGTTCTACAGGAAGTACTTCTGGTTGGAAAACGCCCAAAGATCAACAAAGTTCCTGCAATTTAAAACAAAACTGTGATTTATGAGGTGGTACATGTCAAAGTAGGACTCTATGTTTCCCAGCATCCTGCTACCATCTCAACTCAACCATTAGCACTTTAATCTCCACGATTATCAATGATTATGTTGATATTATATAAATTAAGTCTTATCATTTATAATGCTGTACGGTCTGAGCTGTGTTGTTACATTAGTTCGATTTATCTCCATATTTACTACCACTGTAGGTTCTGAGCCTTATTAAAGACTAAACAACGTACACAGTAGTGGATACGGTCGATGTTTTACTGCTTTTCTCCTTATTTTGCAAGTGTTCTCGGACTTTGAGAGTAGCTTCGAATTTCATTAAAGTTCAGCAGAATTTACAGATTCTTTAACTCGTGTGTTTGGGAAGTTTGTCAGCTATAAAATCTGGATTTAATCGGTGCAGAATAGCAGCTATTTTACACTGGATCTGTTGAAAAATGTAAACAAGGACAGCTTTAATGGACTCGGCTGTAGTAAAATACAGTATATGTGAGCATGGCGAGCAGGAGAGAAGTAAACAGATGTAAGATGTCTCCTTGTGTCCTCGTCTTAATATTTAAATTAGTTGGATTTAGCGCCATAATTAGTACCAAAGCTACGTTACGGTGTCAGCGTTAATGTAAAGGCAGGTAAAGTGATAGTCAACGAAATTGTCAGGTTTTAATCCCTAAAATGTAAATTATGGAGGTAAAATCACAACACAAATAACACGACAGCATCTTGACCCCCAAAAAGTTTTGTTTTTCTTTTCTTTTTCTCGAAGGCGCATCAACTGTTGTCTTAAAAGTGCAGCATAAGATAAACACTGACTTGACTGTTTCTATACTGTTCAACATAAGTTGACTTGAACTGAGAGCAGCAGTGGTTGTAAAGTGCACTGTGCATTTGTAACCAGGAGTCGGTACTGATCGCTTCACCTGTTGTCTTTCCTTAGAGACTTTGGTTAAACTGTTCATATTGGAAACACCCAACAACACCCATCCCGACCCATTTTTCCTGCTTCCAACATCAACTTCAACCTGCCTGTCGACCTGCTGCCTGACCAGTCTCGCCCACTGAAAGGTGAGTTGATTGTTTCATCCACACCCACTTTGATAATCATCGACCAGGCAAAACTGTTTCTTCTCAAATGTGACAACTTACGACCTTGTCCTTTTTCATTTCAGCGTAATTTCAATGTTTTGGGATTTTGGACACTTGACAAGGAAGCGCCACCATTTTCTAACATTTCACAGCTTCATCTGTAAACAGTAGCTCACAGGATAATGAAGACAATCATCAAACGCAGCCGCGACTGCATCAAACCCCAGCGAGCGTCTCGAATCTTAACTCGTGTCTTGAAACTCTGCAGCCTGGATCGTCGTCGTGCATCAAACTGAAAGCATGAGACGTTTGGGAATTTGATCCTCGTCGCGCAAAAGACACTTCATAATGTTCAGGAATATGAATCGGTGTCTGCAAACCTCCGGAGGTGAAACTCAGGATATTATCCTTTAATAAAAGACACGACAGAGCAGCGGCAGCAGCATGACCCTGCTCTTTATTGCAGCAACTTCCCTGAGACAAATAAGCGACTCTTGGTAAAGGTTAGCAGCCGGATTCGAACCTCAGAGAGACGCCGAGACGTCACGATCCCGGCGAGATGCTGCACACGTCAGTCATCTCCTTTTTAAAAGTCACACAAGGTTAGTCTTTATTCATGCCGTGTGCCGATGTGCGGCTCTGCGGAGTTAATTACCAATTCATATCAGCCCTTTCAGAGCCGAGATGCATCGGCCTCCTTATTAAAAATATCTTCTTCCCTTTGTTGTGGGATGATCAAGCCTTAATGGGTTTAGATCTTTACATCATTTTCAGAATTACTCCTTCAGCTCTAATTTGATTCCTTGACAGATAAAACTCCCCTGAAGACGCCGCAGAGACGAGGATTTTAAGATATTTCGATGATGACTTTCTCCTGACATGTTCCCGGCAGTGATTGCGCTGCCGGATAAACATGGCGGCTCTGACAGTTCGGGAGCTCGCCTCTGTGTATTTCTGGCTCGGGCGTCCCGCCGGGAGACGAACCTCAAACCCTGACAGCGCAGAAGCTCGCTGCAGCAGCTGATTCTGCAGAGCTGCTCTTATATCAGCGTGGACTTTGTGCAGAAAGATCAATTCTTACACACATGTCAGCTTTCAGACTGGACGCCACCTGACCTCAGGAGATGTTTATCTACAAGTTCCCCAGTGATTGCTCTTCTCAAATCAACCCAACACTCTCCATTAGTATCCTGCTGCTTCATTTCTCATAAGAAGGTGGTTTTGCATCGATTTCTATTGTTTTTCTGCTTCAGCTGTAGATCTGATAACCTCCTGCTGAAGGACACTCCAGACGCTTTATCGCACTGAAGCCAGATTGCCTGCAGCGCCGAGCAGCAACAACAGAGCTGAGGTTTACCAGAGAGAGCAGGCAGGAAATGGGAGCTACGTTTTAGCAGTTTAACCAATATCAGTGACTCAATAGGATGTATTGCACTTGTTGGTTGTTTCAGGGCAGTCAAACCTTCCCGAGAGCAGGAACCACCCAGTAGAACCTCAAATTTTGGGCAAGAATAAAGTGCTCCAGGAAAGGTACTGATAAACTGCTGTGTGAGTCTTGATGCTGATTGGTTAAACTTAGAGAAGGCGCCATTTTTCTGCCGCTGACATCTCCAGCAGCAATGTAAAATATAGGCCAACATAACCTACACGTCCACACAACTGGACTTAGGTGCAGTAACTTCTGTTTTTTACGGTTGTTTTTGGTGCACTCAAAGTTGCCGTTGTGGTCAAAGCTGTTAGATTCCACACCTCAATGGAAACGGAAAGGCTAAAACGATGGGAACATTTCTGCAAATGTTCATGTATCTGCTGCCAAAGTGGAAAACTACCAAATGCTGTCCACGTGCCTCCCTCCCTCGAAGGCCAGTCGTCTAGTGGCAGGACAATGAGCCACCAAGTCGGAAACCAATTTATATTTGGCTTTTTTCAGGAAATAAATGACCAAATTATCAAAAAAAACAACTGCAGAAACAATAATTGGTTGGTTTACCAGATTATCCGAACTGCTGCGGCAAAGAAAAAGAGGATGTGGATGGTGATTTCAGAAACGGAATGTCACAAACTCTCAATGGATAATTCGTATTTGTTAGATTTGCTCATCTTGTATAAACCCACTGGAGCTTTTAAGGCAAACCAACCTTTTTAGTCTGACTTTTGATTGATTTGATAGCTTTTATTCATTTATTACTCAATCTATTGTTGATTACTTCATTGTGTTTTCAGGAATTGTCTTTTATCTTGACCACCTTCAAGTCCATGTCATGATGCTGCCACCGCCATGCTTCACATCATGATGCT